GGAATCTAAAATAGTAGAACTCACAGAAGCAGAGAGTAGAAGCGTGGTTGTCAGGGGCTGGGCCGGGGCAAGGATGGGGGACTGGGGAAATGCTGGTCAAAGAGTACAAAGTTTCAGTTATGCAAGATGAGTAAGTCCTGGAGATTCATGTACATGGTGACCATGGTTAACAATACTGTACTGTATACTTGAAATTTACTAAGAGGGTAGATCTTAAGTGTTATCACATACACACACAGTAACTATGTGAGGTGATGGATAGGTTAACCAGCTTGATTGTGGCGATCATTTCACAATGTATATGTATATCAACACATTAAGTTGCATACCTTAAATATGTACAACTTCTATTTGTCAATAGTACACCAATAAAACTTGAAAAAAAATAAAAGCACCTTTTCTAACGTCAATCCTATAAACCTCAAGGCCTATAATCTACCCATAAAGATTACAGATGTGGGATGATTTGAGGGATTAAAGGTTCTGTGATGATATCCACCTTGCCTACAGGCAGAAAATAAGGAAAGACATGTAAGGGATTGATGTGAAATGAAAAGAATACTTTCTTAATAAAAAAAAAAACACACTACCAAAGTGAAATTATATTCTTTGGAGGGCTTCAGAAACAGAAAAGATTTTCACCTGTTTGTGGATTATGGTTCTCCTGAGGGTGATCAGTTTCTGTAGAAACTTGATAACCACAAGAAACAAATATGAGATGCAATTATTACTTCCTTACTGTTTGTGAGGAAATAGTCCCTAACACAGAGCAGCCTGGTCCCAGACTCTGAGATTTGAAGGCAGAGACCAGTGGGGCTGGGAAAGTGCCAAGCCGAGTGAAGCCATGAGGTCTAGGAAAGCGCCAGCCATAATTCTCAAAATCAGATTCTATCAAGAGCATCCACAGGCTGCTAATGCTGGATGGCAAGGATCTGAGCATAAGGATCTAGTGTTTGAAATTAGGAACAGTGGTTTAAACTATTTAACCACGGGATTTAACCATGACATATTGCCCTGCAAAAGAACAAGGAAACAAAATGTAAAGTATGCCCACCCTGCACCCCAACCTCCAACTGGACCTACTGCTTAGGTTCTTACTCAGAGGGACAAAGATGGGCTTCTGGGGGTTTCTATGAAGCTCCTAACTGTGGAAGCAAATTCATAAGCATGCAATAATAATATGTATTCTTCCAGGGCTTTAAATAGATTCTCCTAGGGTCCATGATACTAAGAGGTTAAAACTTATAGGCTTATGGAATTGCTATTTGAAGGAAGGTTGCACAGTGGCCACAGAGGATACAGCATGGAGGAGAAAAGTTTGCGCGAAGGCTATCTGTAGGTGGTTGTCCCTCTGGCAACCCCAAGTCCATTTGAGCACGCATTTTCTTGCTGGGTTCTACCCTTGTTTTCAGACTCTCACCTCTGGCCTTCCCAGCCCACTGGGCAGTACAACCATCACACCCTTTAAGGGTGTTTTCAGTCTTCATTTCCCCTCTGCACATCTAGGCAGCATGGAACCCATGCCCATCTACTTTCTGAAATTTCAGCTAAGCTACTACAACCTCCTTAGAAGACACTTTGTCTCTGTAGCATACTTCACTGTGGTTATTTCTTCTCTACTTTTTATTGGGCCTTGCCTTCCCTATCCTTTAAGAATCCTTGGCCTTTTCCCAAGCCCTGTGCATCAGCGCTTCCCTGTAGCACTTGATGGGTCTCTTTCTCCCCCTTCTGGCTTTTCAAACATGACACACTTTTCCCTGAATTCCCACCCAGATAGCGCTAAGATGGAATAAACCTTTTGGGTCTCAGTTTCATTCTCCCAGTCTAATGGGAAGAATCTATAGCTCAAAAAAGGGAGGAGAAAAAAAAAAAAAAATCTCATGCCAGAAAAAACGTCACAGAGGCAAGATTATAAGTAAAGAACATACACTCAAGCTGACAAACACAGTTTCATATCCTGGTCTGTTTCCTCAGAAAGCTGTAACTAGAGGGTTATAAAGATAAAAGAATGCATGTAAAAAGCTTGCCATAGTGTATGACCCATAGTAAATAAAGCACTGACTGTTGACTTGAATTAAACTGAAACTCATTCTGCTATAGTTAATGTGTATCAAGCATTTTTAATGCATCAACACCATCAGATTTACATGTATCATCACATTTAATCCTCATAGACAACTTTTAAGGTAGAAACAACTTTCATTTTTAGATATGGAGAACTGAGGCTCAGTGTTGGCTACCGTGTTCAAGGTCTCTGATATCTTCAAAGGCAGAGCTAGCATTCAAAACCAGATCTACCTAATTCTAGACTCCATGCACTTAAAGCTACATTTCTTCCTCTTCTGATAACTAAAAGTCTCTGAGCCTCATTTCCTTCTTCTGTAAATAAAGGGAAAATGACTGTGGGGAAGACGGAATGGAAAGCTCCATGCTCAGTGCCTACAGCATACCAAACACTCGATCAGTTGTAGCCGTTATTAGTGTCTTCCTCCTTCTCAAAGTAGACACTTCCCTCCCCTCCTAATATCGCAGCTTTGGCCTGATATCCCACTTCTTCCATTCCTTCCTGTTTTCCTTCCCTGACTAGAGGAAACAGGATGGGAAAGGGCAGCAAGGGCAGCCCCCAGCTCAGGGAGGGGGATAATTTTAGAAAAGAATTCCCTGGCAGAGGTATGCGGGGGAAGGGAATAGAGCTGTGAAATTCAACCTCATATCCTTATTCATGGCGGAGGTGAGAAGGACGTGGAATCTAGTTAGAGACAGATGCTGCTTTGTAATTCCCAAACATATCACACCTCCAAAAAGCTTTCCTTTCCTTTAAATGGGTACTTACCTTATTCCTACTATTCCAGTAATTTCTTAACCTGTCCTACACTTTGTATTCATCCCTTGAAGCTATCCCACTGTTGTTTTTCTTACAGTATAATCGATCAGCTTTATAGTCCATTTTTCACAGCCTTTTGCTTCCAGTATTCTTCTGCACCAAATTCCCCTCCATCTGGTGGTGTGCTTCAGCTCAACTCGACCCCCCCTTGCTCTTCCTCGAGTCACCCCTCCTCTGTATTCCTCAACACGCTTCCACAGCTGTTTCATACCAAAACACTCCTACAGAATTTCCTATCTCTTGCTAAACCTCCACAGCCCATCTGCACCTGCACTTGCCTCTCTAGGAATATACTTTAGATACAATGAAGTCCCATAATACCGACTTACAAATAGCCCATTGTTTTGATCTCTTTTGTGCTGCCTGATAATTCTCTTACAATCTGCGCCCACTCTAGAAACCCTTAAATCCAACTTGGACCACGTGAGAAATGAAATTCTATTAATACTATCCCCTCCCTCTCGTCCTCCTATTCTAACCCAATCTGTTACTTCAGCATCCATCCCATAATCTAAATAACCCAGAACCAACACTGCTTCCATCTCATGTGACTGAGAAATTCCAGACTATGCCAACAGAGATGGGTCCACACCTGCCTATTAAAAAACCATGGCAGCAAAGTAAGAAGGGGTTTGCAGTTCTAGGTGTGCCTTGTGAGCTGGGGAGAAATGCTTCAGTGTGAGAGGCTAAGGAAATGAAAATACATGGGCTTCACAAGAATGAGCATTTACAGACACAGAGATATCAGGCACACATCAGTAATAAATATGAGCATTTATTTGGCACCTGATGGCAATACAAAATCCTGGCAGTGGGAGTGGAGAGGTTCTATCATTCAAATACTTCCACACTATACTGACCCAAAGGCAGGACTTGGCAGCAAGTCTTCAAACCGCCTGGCTCATAGAACAAGAATTTATTGAGCACCTTGGCTACTACAGGCCTATGAGAGATGTGAAGGAAGCTGTCTCACACATGATATGTCCTCAAGTAGCTAAAAATACTAGTGGATAAAAACTAAACACATGGAAAAACATAGAGTACAAATACTAAACATATATATTGTCAAAAGGGATTTTAGCTGGGGTTGGCCTGCTTGTTTCCTTCCTTCATTCGATAAACATTTATTGAAGACTTACTATGTGCCAGGCACTGGGTACACACAGGTGAATAAAAGAGACAAGGTTTCTGCCCTCATTTACAGCCTAGTAGAGAAAAATGAACAAGTAAAATAAGGAAATATGTAATTATAAATGGCAATGAAGGTAACAGACAGGATGCAGTGAAAGACACAGGAAAAGAATGCTTAGAAACACAATGACCAAAAACTACACTATTATGTGAACAGAGTGGAGGGGGCAAGAATGGAAGTTAAAAAAGAAGAGTAAAGTTTCAGATAAGCAGGAATAAAGGAGGCTTCTAGGTTGAAAGAATAACAACATGTACAGCAACAGCCTCGCTGAAATAAAGGATAAAATCAAAGGGGAGATTAATACCGAAGCAGAAAGCAGGAACTAGGTATATTACATCTTGGAGTGGCCAAACGATCCAGTGAAGTAGTATTTTGGACAGATTTGGTGGCAGAATTAAACAGGATGAAATGAAGGTAAAGAAGGAGAGACATAAAGCAGGGAGGTAACAACTAGGAAGCTTTTCTAGAAACCCAAATATGTGGTGTAGGTGGATTTGAATGGAAGTGAGAATAATAAGGGAGAGAGAGAGACATTTCAAAGGATGGAAAAGAAGATATGGCGAGGTTACAGAGTCTGAGGAAGCACACCTGGCCTTCCGTGACACTCCCTACAAGGCTCATTTCAGTAACAAAGCTCAGAGAAAGAATGACCAAGGAAAGATCTTTGGGACTTCTACGGGCAAAGATCGATAAGGTACAGATGCAAGGCACCCATACCTAACCTATGAGAAAAGGCTGGGTGGCTGCAACCCAAAGGAGCCAGGATGTCCTTCCATTGGGTGGTCCTGCAGTACTGAAGGGAACGCACAGGCCACTTCCGCCCACGGCAGCAGCGTGTGTCTCTAGTCAGGGCTGCCTCTTCAAAGCCAAATGAAAAATGTCTACATTAAATTTGGACACCTTCCAAACTCTCGCTCTGGGACAGGTGGGGTCGAGGATATGAAAGAAAGGAAAGATAGCAGATGATCTTGAGACATCTTAACTAATGTAACAAAAGCAATTACCAAAGTGCTACCTACAAAAGCCCTGGGGGCAGGAAGTGAACACAAACACGGAGAAAAAAACCACATGCCCTCTCCCCATGACACACTGTGTTTACAACGTCACTTGTCAGGCTCTTTAACTGCAGCCAAAACCTTCCTGGCAACAGGTCCAACAAGAGCCGGCTCTACAGGGAAAGGGCTTCACAGAGGAAGGGCTGGCCTGCAGTCCCACACTCAAAGGTGGAGATGATGGGTACAGGAACCAAGCCTGGGAGATTCCCACATCCCTGAGAGGGAAGAACAGAAATCGTGCATCCTGAAGAGAAAAGGCTCTATCACACCTCCTGTGATCCAGTGGCTTCCATCTGGCATGGATAATTGGGGAGGTGGCATCACATGGGAGGGTATCCTGGGAACAGGTAGAGGTGACGGCACAGAGTGCTACAGTACTCAGACATCTCCTTGCATCGGTGGAACTCTGTGCCAGGGGCATAGCCTTCACGTTCCTTGATAAGTGCATTCACCTGGAAGGGCAGAACAAATGGACCCAAGTCTGAGAATCTCGTGCTATCATCATAGAAGAACAAGAAGGGCAAAGAGACAATGAAAAAGAGTGCAAGGGAAGAGGAAGGTAGCACACTGGACATGCACAGGCTCACGAGCCGGCCTCAGCTGACTTACCTTAACCAGCATGTCGGCCACGTGCATGTCATAGGCTCTCTCAGAGAACACTTGAGTGAGGGCCTCAATGTACCAGGAACCCCGTTTGGTGTTCCGCATGGCAGCAGTCCCTGAAATCAGAAGAGCATGAACCACAGTGTGAAGATCACCAGGTACTCTCAAACAGCTCTGGACTTCCCAAATGAGACTTCCACAGCACCTGCACCCTCCCCATTCAGAGAGCCCAAAGTGAGAAATGCAAGTCTAGGAGAGAGCATAATCTTTAGGATTACAAACACACCTTGGACATATCATGAGTTTGGTTGCAGACCATGTCAATAGAGTGAATATTGCAATAAAGCGAGTTACACAAGCTTTTTTGTTTCTCAATGCATATAAAAGTTATGTTTACACCATACTGTAGTCTATTAAGTGTGCAATAACATTTTGTCTAAAAAGACAATATATATACCTTAATTAAAAAATATTTTATTGCTAAAAAATGCTAACAGAGACACGAAGTTAGCACACGTTGTTAGAAAAAGGGCACCAACAATAGACTTAATTGATACAGGGTTGCCACAAACCTTCAACTTGTAAAAAATACAATATACATTGAGCATCCCAAATCTGAAAATTCAAAATGCTTCAAAATCTGAAAGTTTTTGAGCACAGATTTGATGCTCAAAGGAAATGCTCACTGGAGCATTTTGGATTTAGAATTTGGGGATTTGCAATGATCAACTGGTTAAGTATAATACAAATATTCAAAACAAAACAAAACAAAACAAAATCAGAAGCACTTCCGGTCCCAGGCATTTCAGTAAGGGATATTCAACCTGAACCCGTGAAGCACAATAAAATGAGGTTATGACTGTCCTCTTTTGGAATGGACAATACCTTTGAGGCAGGCATAGCCACATATCATGTCCGAGCGGGTGGGCAGTCTAATCCTCAGCAACTCTTCTTTACCGGCATCACTCTCCTCGCAGCCAGGGGATCCTGCATGGTTCTTTCCATCCTGCTGGTCAACCCCACGATCAGTCTCATCTGTACAAAAGCAGACAGAATGGACAAAGATGTTATTTCCTCTCAACTCTCTTGGACATATCATAGACAAGCACAAGTTCTCAAAAACCTTGACCAGGAAGAGCCATTTCCAGCTGTTGCCTCCAACTTTTGGCTGATGAATGGGAGAAAAAAAATCATTACTTTCCCAGCATGCATCCGTTACTCAGGGGGTGCCTACCACAGGCCAGGCACCACGCTCAAGAACATGCACATATACGTGGTTGGAGCATTTCCCATACTGTGTAGGACAGGAAAAATGCCAAACCAAATACTCCTTGTAAATGGAACTAAAAATCTAAGTCCACGATTCACTCCTTCAATTAGCAATGTACCTGGGAGTCACAGTGCTTTTTACTGCAGTATACAATAAAATACAGATACATTTAGCTTTATTACATAAATAAGAAAAAACAAGTTAATAAATCAAAAATATGGTTACTACATATATGTTATATAAAAATCACAACCTCAAACTATGTATCAATTAAAAAATTATAAAACTAAGCATGATTGGCTGTTTCCAAGGTGGTTTTGTATTTTTAAAGCAATTACTATTTGATTATTATTAATAATTTCATAAGATAAGTGATAACAGGCATCTAAGATTTTAAAAAAATTTAAAAGAGGAAAAATTTAAAATGAGGAGGATTATTTTCTCCTAAAAAAATAGAAAAAGAAGGCCATGATTCAATTTTAACAGTAGTTTCTAAACACACCCTGAGGATATGACCCCGCTCTTGACCCAGACCTTACCTGTCCTAAGACAGAATCTTATTTTTGATGTTACTGCTTTATTTTGGGGGTGGGCAGGGGTGCTGTTGGTAGGAAAGAGTCAGGGAGGACTCTCAGGTCGACACCATAAAGGTAAAGAACAGGCTCTTCTACAGTACTTCCTGCTGCATGCAACACACAAGAGAGCCTAACCAGGAAGGCAGGCTTGAAGAATTGTAGGGAAAAGGACCAAGATTCACGGATTCAATAAAAATTTACTGAGCAACTGCCATGTGCCAGGCACTGTTCTATTTTAAGCCCTAGTGATATACTGAAGGAAAAAGTCCCTGCCCTTATGGAGCTTACACTCCAATTTAGGAGCCAGTTGGGGTATGGGGTGGTATTTTTACAGACAATTATATTACCCCAAAACAGCAGGAACAGGTGAGCTCCAATTTTCAAAGGACCAAATGGCTACTGGTTATCTCTTGAAAGATTTAATTTTAGAGAGAAGGTGGAGAGGCAGAGCAAAACATTCAGATTACCCTGGAAAAATTTCTCCCTATCCAAACACAATATTGTATATATCTCCGAATATAGAAAAGAAAATGTCCACACATCTTTATTTTTATTTTGCTAATAATGATTCCTAAAGGGAGTAGGCCAAGCTGAATGTGTCCCTCAAGAGAAAGGAAACTCTCCTACTTTCCTTCATCTCGTATCTCATAGACCTATCATTCAATAAATGCTATTGGTTCTTTCACCAATGTTCGCATATCTGTTCTCTATACCACTGCTACACTTAATCAGGTAGATTAATTTTCATCCATTCATTCAACACTTGTACCTGCTCAGCGCATCAGGCAGTGCTCTGAGCCCGGGGACATACTAGTAAACGAATGAACAGTTAAGTTCCTGCACCACACGCTCTTTCCTTAGTGCAGCCCCTGACATGGCAACCCTCCTGGAAAAAAAATCTATCACATTTGTTTCTTACTTAAGCTCCCAACGGCTCTGTACTATTATCTGTTGAAGTCCAAAATCTCAGCTATGACTAAAGGCTTATAATCAGCTAGATCTACTTCACGTGAACAGCACGTATCACTACATACCTACACAAATGCTCACTTTTTAATTAGATCTGGGCATTTTTTGGAGGGGGGGGAAGCCCCTTTACTCTTGTGTTTTTCATGTTGCATTGTCCCTTTTCCTGTGCAAAACTATCTGCTACTCCACAAATATGTAAATCATATTATTCTGAGTCCAAACTAAGCCTTAGCCTATCCACAGAATCTCTTCAAACTAACTTCACTTAAAATGATGTACTCTTGCTGCATATTCCTTCATACGTATAGGTTGGAGCTCACTAATTTCATCCTTGCTTACATGAGGCCTTTGAACTAGTCTGAAGCTACTTCTTAGATATTTGCTTTGTTTTTCTGGTAGGCTCCTCAGAGAAGCTACATTTTCTTTTGCTTTTGTGGTAGTACCTAGTGTAGTCCTAGTCATGCTGTAGGACCTCAATAAAACATATTCTGTGGAAATACCAGATTAGGAGGATACAGTTAGCCCTTTACATTTGGCCACACAATAGATTAAAAAAAATCATTATTTGAATGTTTGGACAAAGCAACCTTTAAACCAAACCATAAGCCCTTTGAGGGCATTGACCATGTTATAAGTTGCAGCTACCACTTTTTGTGGATTAACTATGAGGCAGGTATAGTACTAAGTAAGTCCTTAAATGCAGAATTCCATTTAGCTATCACAATAACATTATGAAGTAGGTCCAATGACTGTTTATATTTTATATTACGGAAACTGAGGTGGAGGGATGTCATGTAACTTCTTTAACTTCACACAACCAGTAAGTGGTAGAGCCAGAATTTGACCCCAAAGTTAGAGCTCTTAATTATTACTATTTTCTCCGGGATGAGGAACATGCCCGTATGTCTTCTGATCCTTGCCCTGTAGTCCTGGCTCTTAAAGAGGTAAAGCAGACTGCATGCAAGAAAGAAGATGGACAGAGGCAGCTTGGGAAAGAGGAAGGGTTAAAGGCTGATGTGGATTCCATACTGCTATCCTGCAAGGTCCACGAATGATAAAGGAGGCAAGAGGGGAAGTATAGGCAAACAGGGAAGTAAAAGGAGCAAGTGGAAAGAGGGAAGAGAAAAGGAGTAAGAAAAAGAGGAAGGAGATGAAACAAGAGGGACAGAAAAAAGAAAATGAGTAACAAAAGTGCATCAGAGTTAATAAGCATAGACAGAAGTTAAGAGTTATCAGAAAAGAAGGCAAAGACATTGATTAAGAGAATCCTGAGAGCAGGATATGGTGGTGCACAGAGAGCTGACCAGCCTGAGAGCCATGGGCTGCCCAAGTCCCAGCACACCCCATGCATTGGGAGACACTTACAGAGCAAAAGAGGCGGTGGCAGCAGTGAACAGAAGGAGGTGCCCAAGGGATCCAATAGCACCTGAGAGGAGCAAACAGGAAAGTGAGAGCTGGTGGGAGGCTGCCCAGGAGCCACCACCCAGGTGCTGGTCTGCCAGGGCACTCACCTCCACGGCAGGCCTGGATGAAGAACATTTTCGGCTTGTTCTGTAGGCTGGGGCAGTTGGCATTGTCAAAGAGCCGAAAAACCTCTTGCAGCTGCCAGAAAGAAATAAGGAAGAAGGGAATTTAAGTAGTCAGTCGGGCCTCCTGAAGTCCTATACATACAACAGCAGCCAATCCTGGAAAGACAGGAGGCAGGAGGGGAAGCGGCCTAGTTTCAACAGCTATCCGTACCTGGAGCAGTTTGCCATCCACACCATAGATGGCGCCCTCTACACCATGCGAGAGGAGTGCCACGATGCAGGAGTCTGTGACACGGTGTGCAGGTAACCGTGCAAAATTCCGGAGTTTCTCTTGCATTTCCTAGAAAAAAGGTAACTTTTAGTGTTGTTCACTGCAGTTGGCACCAATATAAGCACCAATCTTTGGCTTCTGTTTGAAACCCTAAGCTATCAGAAGATAAAATATTCTACATATATTCTGTGGTCAATGATAAGTCAGAGACCCTTGCAGAGACCAAAGAAAGCTATGGATTCACCAGAAAATTGCCCATGACTTCAGACACAACTCACTGAGATAGGTGGAGAACTCCTGAATGAAAGCAAGTTACTAATGAAGCTAATTATGAACTAGTCGGCTTTGATTCATTCCCTGATCATAACCACATCCTTCATTAGAGCAAGTGCCCTTGTATATAAATGGCACAAAAGAACCACCAGGGAAGCTGTGAATGAGTAAGTAACATACCTCTTCAGCTACAAGAAAATAAACTGCTCTGTGACATGGCTGGCCTTAAGAGCATCATGACGGGAGCGAACAGCAGTACTTGTACGCCAGTTGCTGTCTGAGATTTTAAGTATCTAAGAGACAGTGATGATGTAAGCATAAAATGCTTTGTTCAGAGAAGAGCACATCATGCAGGAGGATTCTGTTCATGGCAGTCAGTACATACATAAACTGTGGGGTCAGACCCATCTAGGTTTAAACCTTGGGTTCATAAATTGCAACAAGTTATTTAGCCCTTGAAGGTTCCAATTTCCACCTCATAAAAAAATTACAAGTAAATTTTCTCTACATTTGTGAAGATGAAGATAACTGTGTGTAGAAAGGACTTACACGTGTCTGGCACATACTGCAAAGATCTGCCATTATTACAATGCACACAGTTAATAAAGGTTTTTGTTTTCAAAAGAAACCTATTACTGGTTAACCTTAAGAATCTTGTTTATCTTGCACTAAGTTGCCATATACGAAAACCAGGACCATAAACATTTGGTCCACTGCACAGAAAGTTATACTGTACTTAAATAATAGTATGATAATATGGCACACATTTTTAAACCTATGTCTTCCTCTACAACTCAAGATGTCTAGGTCTTCTATCTGAGATGAACAGAGAGAAAACAAGTTTATTATAAATTTGAATGAAATATAATGAAGATAAATATGCTATCTAGACAGAACAGTTACAGCACACAAATATTCAACATTTACCACACACACTCCCAAAATAAAAAGCATAGTTGTATAACATACTGCAGTGGTTCTCAAAGTGTGGTCCCTAGAGGAGGAGCAATGGCATCATCTAAAACTGGTAAATGTGAAATCTTGGGCCTCATCAAACTGTTTTAACAAGCCCCCCAGGTGATTCAACATGATAATGTTTGAGACTTACTACTAATCTATTTGGGATACTTCTATTTGCAGATAATTGAGAAAGTAATTATATAAAAGATATGAAAGTCTATAATATAACTAGAAATGAAGAAACGATTTTGTTGAAAAAGCATGTATATTTTCTGGGTAAGTAGAAGCCAACCATAATAATGGAACCCTTAAGGTAATAAAAGATATACAAAAGGCATTTGGTTCAAGAATATATAATTTCAAGAGAATATATAACTGTCAATGTTCCTCTGGAGCTGACCATAATAAAATCTAATATACTGCAGTTCAAGAAGTTAATTTTGCTTAAAGAAGTAAATAAAAATTATGTACTTGGGCACCTAATCATGAGCATTTTGAACTTAGTGAGATTATTAGGTCAGTAAATAGAGAACAACAAAGCCCAAGAAAGAACATTCACATTTTGTAAATGAACTTAGTAGACTAAACCATTCAATAAATGGGGATTACTCATTTGGAAGAATTTTTCCACAAGGAACATAGCTTAAAATAGGATCTGTAGATTTATTTCTGATAAAATTACAGCACTTCTATAAATAGCAGGGTTCTTAACTCTTGCATGTGTTTTGGCTGGTGGTTGGGGGACACATGTGAAGAGAACAACCTATGAATCCTCTGAAATTACATGCAAAACCGTACAGGTAGCTGCATTTTCCAGAGATGATCCAAAGCTTGTCCGTACATCTAAGCAGTCTGTCACCCAAATGCAAGTTAAAAACAATTAAAAGGAAATCTGCCACATTAAAATGTACTTCATTTCTTAATACATGGTAAATTGTAATCCTAGAACTAGCAACCTCATGAGGTAGATGCAATAAAAATCTGATGATAAAAAAACCGAAAACATTCTTGAGCAGTAAGAATACCAGTGTTCTCTGCACTGTCAAGGGAAGAGAATTCTCTAAGACTCATTATACTATTTCCTACTTTTAAATGGAATTTATCTCTGAAGTCAACAAGATTTGATAAGGAAAAAAAAAAAAGAGGATCTCCATTTTTTCTTGGTTCTCTTTCTTTGCTTACAAAATAATTATATGATAGAAGAGTCTTAAGAGGTCCCACCAGGAAAAGAGTATTCTGTGCAGATGCCCAGTGCACCAAATTATGACACCCATTTTAACGACCTGGTTTATAATACACGTTTCTTGTCTATAGACAGTGCTCCCTGCCTAGGATGGCTTCACCACTCCTCTCTGTTTTAGTAACTTCTATCCCTCAAGGCTAGCTCAAGTCCCACTTCCCATTTATCCTTCTGACAATATCTACCCAGGCATTGCTTCTTGGCTATTACAGAAGATACTGGTCTCTAATCTTGCTTGGTCTTTAGCAATATAAGAGGACACGCTTCCTTTCCTACTGATGTCATGAATCCCCCGTCTAAATGAAATCCCCTGAAGTTTAGGTCTACCTTTTAAAAATCTCTGATAGCTCATATAGTCCCCATAATAACTCACTCACAATTTAACTCTACTGCAATTCCAGTTACAAAACATAACCACAGAATTAGAATCCAATAGGTCCTTGAATCCACATCAGGTTTAGCATAAATGGGAATGGCATTTATGAAGTGGGTTCATAAACTCACCAAATCTACTGAATGTCTCTGAGAAAACAGCAGTATATAGCTGACTTGTTGACTTAGTACTGTACCTTTAACTATCAGGCATATAAGATCACTTATGAACTGCAAAGAATTTGGAGAATGATGATGTAAAAGGTTTCTAGTAAAAAGAAATGGCTACCCCCAAACCTCTAAGAAAACATACATAGAGTACATTTTGTTAAGTGACCTTATGTAAGAATTATGGCTCGTATCTACCTTCAGGCCCATCAGATCTCTCAGGAAAGCATATCACCTACTCAAATACTTGATGATTGAAGAAGCTGTTCCTGCCATGGCTTTGAAGCAAGGGTGGGTCTACTACTTTGCATGGGCTACTATTGGGAAGCCAGGAAAAACAGCATGTAAAGGACAATACCCCGGTACCTACTGATGAAACTGGCCTTCCCTAGGCATAGCAAATATGTAATTATTCTCGCAGAAGCAGGACAGCTGAGAAACAAAAATTAAGACCACAGACAATACTGAATGCAGAATATAACACAAAGAACCTCTACTTCAACAGATCAGAGTGAATCTCCTAAAAATTTTAATTTCACCGCTGACAACTCCAAAGGCAACTTAACAAAGTACTATTATTCTGGAATCAAGATAAAGAGTTAACATAAATTTACAAACAGGCTATTATTGATTTCAAAATAGAAATCCTTGGCCGAGCATGGTGCTGTAATCCTAGTATTTTGGGAGTTCAAGGTGGAAGGACAGCTTGAAGCCAGGAGTTTGAGAACAGCCTGAGCAACACAGTGAGATCCTCATCTACAAAAAGTAAAAAAATTAGCCAGGTATCATGGCACGTGCCTGTAGTCCTAGCTACTAGGACGGCTGATAGCCTGGGAAACAGAGTGAGACTCTGTGTCCAAAAAAAAAAAAGGGAGGGAAGGAAGAAAGGAAGGGAGGAAGGGAAGAAGGAAGGAAAGAATCCTAAAATTAACAAAGTCAGCTGTGTAGCTCAATAACTGAAGTTAACCCAAATTAGCCAGGTCAGGTGGCACATGCTTGTAATCCCAGCTGCTTGGGAGGCTAAGGTGGGAAAACAGCTTGAGCTCAGGAGTTCAAGAGCAGCCTGGGCAACACAGTAAGATTCTGTCCCCCAAAACAATGTTACCCAGTAATAACCCATAATTAAAATGCTTATGATTTGTGGGAATCTAGCCTAGAGGCAATCTACCCTAAGATATGATTTATGGCCATAGAACTGGTAAACAATTTCCTCATATGTTAATTCATTACACTGCTACTAAATAGTATTTACAGGGATAATTATAGCGAACTTTCGTTTGCAAGAGTTTTATCTGCCAAAGTAATCTTTTAAATAATAATTGGACTTCCGAGTAGCAGTATCAACCAAGAAGTCAATGTCCTGTGTAGTCCTGGCTTATAAATATCTTTTCTGAGTTGGTTAGGGTGCCTCTCAGTGTCCCATCACTTCCTTAGTGACTGGGAATCAAGTTTCTGAATATGTAAAAGTGAGAATCCAACCCTGGACTATTATTACTGAAATAATAGTAATAATGAAAGCACAGCTACCCAGAGATGTCAACACTGACAGACCCTAATTCTTTTTTACTACATTACAAATCAAGAGGCATAACAGAGTGAGTAAAAAGGTAAGGAGAGTAAATGACTTCTAAATGACATATCCCAGCAGGCACAGAAGCAACAGATGACTCTGGCCCCAAAGTGTTGCCCAGTCCTAATTTACATGTCAGTTTTTCTTGCCTCAAGTACCTGTGCAGTCTGGTCATGTAGGACATGGACGTCGTAGCCCAAAAGCTTGAAGAGGGTGACTAGAGTACTGTGGTCTACGTCCCCTCCAGAGCGAAATTCCAGGTCTTTCTCTCCAGTGAAGCGCACATTGCTCAGCACCAGTGCCAGGCCACGAGGCCGAGACTGCAACCTATAGGCCTGGGGAGGGGAACCCAGTTACATCATGAGCTTCCTGACTAGAGATTTCAAGAAAACAAAGACATCATATTCTCCTTCTTAACCCCACCAAGTGAAAACAGAGAAGTGCCCACAGAAGGTATTCAATTGGCAATGACTTTCTGACTAGGCAGTAAGGAAATGCATATGCAAACTAGGTTCAGATGCCCAGGAAGGGCATCTCCTTTTCCAACTTCTTTCCTCTTGTCATTATGCAAAACTCACCAGCTGGCAGTGTGTCTGATAAAACTCAGGAGTGCAAGGCTTCACCTGAAGGCAGGGAGGACCATCTCCATTGTCTAAGGAGTGTTCCACAATATCTGTGGTATAGACAGAAAGCCAAAAAGCTAGTATACAATCTAAGCATTAATACTAGTATGTCATTGTAACTTTAGGCATCCCTTTGAACTGGGGTTTTGATAAATACTGTCTCATTCACTCCCTTAATCTGTAAGCTCCATGAGGGCAGTGACTCTGTTAGCGTTAGCTCACCACTGGAGTCCTCTGCACTTAGCTTGAGTGTAGTAGGTGCTCAATGTGTTGAATGACTAAAGGGACTATCTGATAAAAGCCTGGTTTTATTCACTAGGCTATGACATAGTCTTTTCTCATTAAGCTTTACACAGGAGACAGGCCAATCATGTATAAGAATTTTCTACCCACACAAGTTGCTCAAAGGGTCAATTACCACAAAAAAAATAATATCTGTGATACAAGGGAAATGAGCCTAACTAATACTCTATCCATACTGTCCTGCTAGCCCCTAACAAATTCACTGAGAGAACTGTTGCCAGTATATAATATGTCTCAGGTTAGGGCAGAGCCAGATATCAGTCAAGAAAAGGGAAGTCAATCTGTGGGACCCCTTTAATCTCATCAATTCTTACCTGTCGATAGGCGGAGCTGCTTGTGAGGGGGACAGGACTCACACACCGGGAAAGGGAGACTCAAGTCGTAGTCACAGCTCAACTGTAAGAAATCAGGACTCACCATGGCAGACCTTAGGGAGATAGTCTAGTCCAAATAAAATAAAATCTAGTTGCCCCACCCTGTCTCAAAAATTCCTCTCAAGCCAAATTAACCCTTCCCAACACATTTTTAGCGTTCCATACCGGTGGGAGTACACGCTGAAGACCAGAGAGGGTTGTGAGCAACATATCCTCCAGGTGGCCTTGCTTGGTCTCCCTCAGTGCCGCACAGAAAGCATCAAAAGCTTGGGGACCCCTCTTGGGCAGCAAGTTGAGGAGTTCCACATTCTGGCTGAAACTGCCCCCTTTGGCCTAAGACCGAAGAATAAAACATGAAATCGTATTTACTTATCTAGCTATTAATATAATTCTATTTTTTCCCATGAGCTTCCTCATAGTGTTCTCATCCATCTCAAGAATTCCTTTCACAAGGTAAATATGTACAGGTGAAGTCCTTCTCATTACTGTTGAACTACGTATCTTTTCTGTCAAATGGTCTGAGTTGGAAGGGCATTTCCAACTCCTTAGCAAGGTACATCCTTTCCATACTTCGTCAGACTCCACTCCTACCCCACAATCAATATACATTCTTAAATTTTCTCTTTTGCCTCCAGTTACCTGGATGAGCTCCCTCATTTCCAAGGTGATAATGTCCTTCTCCAGAAGATGTTCTAACAGCTCACTCAGCAACAGCTGTTTGGCAAGCACCACTCGGTTCTTTTTTAGAGTTTCCTGATGGTCAGGATGCATGCCGCACACTCCCAATATCCTACAGTTAAAAAGGTAGAGAGAAAGGCCGTCAAGTGTAAGATCTGGCACAGAAGAGTAGAGTGGAAGAGGCAATGGGTAGAAAAAACAAAAAGAACAAGACCTATAATAACCAAGATCAGGCACATTTTATTGAATCTGGTTAAACCAAAGATGTACTAAACAGTAACATGTTGACCACAGAGAAATGATGTAGAATTCTTTATGGCATATGTCCAACTGAGACCATCTGAGATGAGTGGTCTGATTAGGGGAGGGAAATACCAAACAATACCATGTTAGTTAAAATAATACACACAAGTGCACATGTGTTCATGAAAAGGAACATTTCTCTGTTTGACAGGCCAATTAAGAGAATTATTCCAGAAAACATTTCATATTATTTATATAGGCTGCTGAAAATGATGTAAGTTTAAAATAATCTTGGGTGAGGAATAAAATAATTTAACATAATGGCAGAAACTCAACTCAATGGCCAGTTTTAACAGAAAATAAATAAGACAAATATAATACTCTCTCTGACTAGCCTACTTATAAAAATTATAACTATTTTTTTTAAACTTTAAGTTCTTGTGACAAATGACACTAGAAATAATCAGAATTCTGTAAGACATGGATAAGTAGAAAGAATGACAGAAAGTCACAATAGATAAATATCAATGTTAAACACAATCAACATAATTTGAAATCATTTAAAGAGTTAAAGTAAAGGTAAAATTATTTTGGCAATTTAGTTTATTAGGGATGTCTTTATTTTAAAGATTCCTTAATTTTGCTATTGGCTCGAAAAAAGATTATCTTCTGGTTATGAACTAAAAGAATCCTATTTTCAATACATGTCATCTACGTGTCTAGTTTATATAAATCCAGAGATCTCCAGCCTGCTTAGTCAGTTTCCAAATACTTAACAATACTAAGGGCCTGACAGCAGTGAGAAAAGGATACAATAATAACTTCAGCTTGTAACTTAACCTATTTAAAAATGCATCCTGATTTCAAAGATGTTAAAATGTGTGTGTGGGGGGGCGAGGAATTTGCATCTTAGAATCAGTGAAAAACCATGCATCTATAGGAAGCATGTACTTGGCTTAGAGATGCACTTGGGTTAGAGATTTAAAGTAGAGGGAAAAGGAGGGACTGACAGACCCAAGAAGACAGCAAGTGGGACCCTTAGGCAGAGGAAGTGGGATGGAAGCAGTCCACAAATTGTGGGTTTGGGACAGTGAGTCTGAAACTTCATTTTAACTTCTGTTCTACTGTAAGATTTCTGCTACACCAAACCCATTTAAGAATCACTTTAAAACACAACAAAGTAATAACAGTGATGACATATGTGAACTCTGGTAGAAATAAAATAACATTGCAGCTGGGTGCTAAGTATTTCCATAGGATGATACATAGCCAATGGTGGAGCAGATTTTTCCCCTTGGTTTACCAGTAGCATTCTCTTCTTAAAACTTTCTCTTCCCTTGGTTTCCACGACTCTGACTACTCTCTCTGCCTACCATGTTTCTTTTTCCTTTAAGAGACCTTTGGCCTGCGCTTAAATGCTGATATTCCATTAGGACTCCCGGTCAAACAGCCTCTCCCTAAGCAATCTCATCCATACTCACAACTTACTGACTCCCAGTTCTTGAAACTGTCTCAAGTTCCAGACTTGAATTTTCAATCAACAGATATTCTTTAGTTTTAATCTGAAGCATCATAAACTCTCTGCATGTTATGTGAAGAGTCTTAAATGTGAACGTTCCAAAAGTTGCCCATCACTTAGAATTTTAGAACACATCTGGAAGGGAAGGAGGGGGTAGAGAAAAGGACACCAAGCCAGTTCTTAGGTCTTAATTCTGTATCCTGCAGTTTCCCATTCCAAAGACCTAAATTAACCTTTTGGGTCTATACCAGGAGGCATTAAAATATGTGCTCCTGGGTTAAGTATGTCATGAAATGGAATGACGGGGGCAGAAGCAGAGACACTTGAAGCCACAGGAACCTCCTTGTCCTCTCAAGGTACTCAACCACTAAAGTCTGTGTTGAATTCTTTGAAAATCTGGTCATTATACGCAAAGCAATGCAAATCATGATACAGTCACTACAAATCAAATGCACATCAGAGATAGCACTGAGGTCTGCAGAAGGTCTCATCGTTTTCTAAGAGTACAGAGAATAGTTCCTCCTAAGGGAACCACAGGAAAGGATGGAAAATCTTTAAGAAAAACCGAAGCCCAAATCTGGCAGGACTGGCAAGAGCGCCCCTTATTCAGAACCCCCTGGGCTGCATGAAGGGAGGCTGGGGTAGTCTTTGCCCAAGAGGGACTGGGCCATGAAGCACGCCCGCGCGCCCCCGCGCGGAGTTAGCTCCGAACGGCTTAGCAGGGCCTCCCACCTTTGGCAGGAAGCGCGGACTCGGCAGCTTTCAGGGTCTCCAAGGGGAGGAGGCGATGGGGTCCCCGCTAGGGGCCGGCACCCCTCTTCCTTGGGTCCCACTAACGACCCCTAAGATCCTTCCCCACTCACCTGCGCGCCCTGTCAGCAGCCATTAACCCCTTCTGTTGGAGGGCGGGCAGGGACCCCGCGCTCGGTGCCGCCATTTCCCGCTTTTCCCGGGCTACGCGTGCACCGCCCACAACCCAAACAAACTGTGGGCAAGCGCTTCCCTCGCATCCCTCTCCCGGCCTTCGGCGCACTCCGCGCCTGCGCCCTACCGTCCCACCGCCCCTTCCCGATGCCAGGCCAACTCCCGCCGCCTCCTTCGCCGGTGCGTGCGCAGGCGCAGAACTCTCGCGGTGGGCGCGTCGTCCAATGGAGTGCGGGAAGGCGCTCGGAGGAAGGGGAAGGGGCGGGGAAAGAGCTAGCGGCCGGCCCTGTCCTACCTGGGAATCCAATTGGTTGTAGATTCCCGCGGAAATCACCCCGGCACCTCCCACTCCTCCTCCCCTGCCTATTGCAGTAACTTCACCGAGACAGGCGAGGTCGGCCTTTTCGTTTATTGAAGTTGAACTGTTGGGGCTAGGGTGCGGAGAAGGTGGAGAGCACTAGGGGGCGCTAGACAAATACCCGCGCGGTGAATGAAGGCCTGCATGGGGAGTGCGGCGTCAGCGATGGTTTAGCAGCTCTCAGTGGCCGAAACCTGTATCACAGCCGCAGCACATAATTCCAGAAAATATGGTGCTCTGTACTGGGATCTGAGAAAACACGGAGGGGGGCTGGGGTAAAACCCAGCGGCCAGAGTGCTGGGTGAAGCTGAAGCGACTAGAGGCACTTTGCAAGTGGCCCGGAACTTCATAATAGGTAAACTACCCCTTCATCCCTCACCAAGAAAGTCGCATGTTATATTCTTTCTGGCCTTCACATCCACCCGTTGTTAAAACTGGAAGTCCGTCCACCCGAGGCCATTTCCTCCACTGTTTTCAGACAAGATGGGGGACCCTGTATTGGGGGCTGTTCTCTAGCCCCTGGGCAGGACAGAGGCACAATAGATACTACCCACATGGAGCGGCAGGAATCTGATATAGGAGCTTTGATTAGCTTTGCTCATCTAGGAGCCTGGGGACATCCCTGTTCACGCTCAGCCCACCCTGTCTGTGGACACATTCTGGCCCATCATTCTGTCTGTATGCGGTCTTCCACCCTTCACCAGCAGTTGTCCCAAGACGGAGACTGAAATATGTGCACAAGGCCTGGCTTCCCATTACCTTGTATTGAAAACACAATAGGCTTTGGAATCAGGATTTTGTTCAAGTTATTTTTATGCAGTGTGCCCTGTGCAAGTTAACAAATTCCTCTGACCCTTGGAATCCTCATTTTTCAGTGAGGATAATAATAGCCTACAAGGCCTGGAAGCAAAAGGGAACTAATAGAGGCAAAGCACCTGGATCTGAAGCAACATAGTTGTCACTCAGAAGCTACTTCTTTTCTTCCTTCTCCAGCTTCTCTGGATCACCTCCTCACCTCACCTCAGTCTAACTCCAGAAATACTGGATATGGGGTAGGTTACTGAATGTTGCCAGAAGGCTCAAATTACACCACCCACATCTCAACTGGGAAGGGCTTACCATAGCCTTACTCTCCTCTGGGTCCAAGTACCCATTTATGATGTCCAGGCAGAAACACAGCTCCTGACACATATAAGACACTGGGAAATGGTCAAATGAATGTGTGGGTCTGGTGTGGGGAGAAAATACATGCTGGGAGAGCTGTTTAGGGGGGTGACCAGTTGTCTTCACGGAAAACGTCATCATCATCAGGGTGACCAAAGCAGACATCATAGGCAGGGGGCGGAGTAAGAGGCTCCAATTTGGGGGGTGCCGCCAAGCTTTGCAGATCAGGAGCAGTGGACACAGCCCGTGGTCCCCGAAGCTGATGGCTGATTGGAATTCTTCCAGGGCCTCCTTCCTGGGCCATAGATCCCTCTGAGCCCACTCGCCTTTCCAGTCTTGTTCTGTGCCCCTCCTGGCCCTCCTCAGGTCCTGGGGGGATCACAATACTGCTGTAGGGGGGTGGTTGGTCCACCTCTTGGTGGCGGTACTGTGATTCCAACACTACTACGGCCTCTTCATACGCTGGCACCTCAAAGGCTTCATTGTCCCTGAGGGAGGAGAAAAAAGGTGGCTTCCTGAAAGCCCTTTTTCCCTTTTGTGTCTGCTACCAACAAAAGATTCCCTGCTGGCACCTGACCCCTTCTCTCACTGTTGCCAGTGACAGAGGAAAGCAGAGACTCTATGCCTCAGAGACTAGAGGGACAGGAGAATGGGCCCAAGGTGTATTCCTCTCATCCTGCCCACCCCTTAACTCACCGTGCATTGCCTGAGGCCCCTGGGCTCTCGGACTGCATTGATTGGAGCCGGAGCACCCATTCCAGAAAACAGGCTAGGAGGCAGGCAAACAAGAAGAAGCCACCCAAGGCGAGAAAGAAATAAGCAACAGGGGCAAAGTCCGGCCGTATGCCCAGCAAAGCCAGCCCCAGGAGGAGGGAGGCGCAGCACAGGAAGATAAACGGCTTTTCCAGTCTCCCCCACAAGTGGCTTGGCACCATGGCCCTCTCCAGGCTCCTGCAAAAAGACACACAGCTGTTGTGTCTAAACTAGCAATTGGCATCATGGCTCTGTCGGATACCAAAGTAACCATATTATACTCCTCTGTTTGGGTTCCAGGTTTTTCAATCTCAAATCAGATAAATGATCTACAGGGTCCCCTCCAGCTCCACAATTCTCTCTCCATATCAGTGTGTGTGGAATAGCCAGGAAACCAGCCCAGGAGCCCTGACCCCCAGCGCTCACATGAGTTTACTGTGTCATGGCTCTGCCTTCCTTCCTTTCTCTTTCTTCCCTGCAGTCTCCCTTCCAGCTCTGTCCCTCTCCACCACCCAGGATCCAGTCCTGGGTGCACTCTGCCTGGGGCCTCAGTGCACACCGGCATCTCTGGAATCCAGGTGATGGGGCAGGCCCTGCCTTTTCCCTGTTATTGCTCCTGTTGGACCTCCACCCCGACCTGCCCAGCCAGGGGCTCTCAGTCGGACCATGCTGGAGAGAGAAGGGGGGAGCCCCACTTACCCTGTCTGACCTGGTCTTCCTCTTTTCTCCACAGTCAGCCCATGCTCCAGCTAGAGGGAGAAAGCTCACACAGGCTTAAGAGAGCCACAGGACACAACTGCGTGGGAAAGAATCTTACAGACAAGGCCCAAGGCCACAGCCAGGGCCCCTGGTAAGTCCAGTCGTCTTTGAGACCCCATATCTGCCAGGGTCCCATTCTCACCCTCTGCTGATCCTAACCCACTAAACTCAATTTCAAGTTTCCTGCCAGGAGTTAGCCCAGGGTCTAGGAGGGGAAGGGGAAGCCTTTTCTTTCCTCGGAAGCAGCAACAACCCGTGGCAGCCCGTACCCCAAAAGCGGCCCGTAGAGAGTCCCCAGAACGCTGTAAAGCAAGGAGCCACAGACCTCTCCTCACACCTCTGCCCTGATCCCAGGACCCTCCGCCCCCGCACCCGGCCCAGGAGTTCCTGGCTCACCTGTCTGCACAGACTCCTCAGAAAGTGGGTTGGGGGGGCAGGAGGGGGAGGTGGAGCCCACGGGCCCCGCCCTCTGCTCTGCCCAGTCTTTCTGTCCCGGCCCAGTCTGCCTCCTCCCCTTCGTTCCCCAAGGCTGACCTCCTGTGACTGCCGCACCTCAGATTTTTTCTGATTTTTGCTCACTCTGCCCCGTACAGTGCTCTAACGTCAGTTCTCCTCTCACTCCCTAAGAGCTTTGCCCTTAGGACCAGAGTTGGAATTAACCTTTCCCTCTCTTTTCTTCTCAATGCATGTTGTATGTTAATTGCAGCCCGGGGCACTTTGCCTTCTATTTGGGTAATTTATTTTGTGGCCGTCTCTCCCAGGTGCCTGGCTTATTTAATCTCCATAGCTCTCAGAGTGCACTGCACACGGCCGGCAGTGGGGTGGGCATGGAATGGGGTGCCTGAGTGCTGTTTCCGCGGCGCCCTGTTTTCTGCACAGGTGTTCGTGTGTACGCTCCTTGGCCCCGCTAACTCTTGGTTTTTCAATGTCCACCTCGGAGATGATACCTGCTGCGGAGCCTGTGTCCACAGAGCTTCCACAGCATTCCTCCCTAAATCTGACCCACTGCTTACCTGGTTATACAGTAGTTTTCTATTTAACTGTTTTCCTTCCAGTATGAGCTTCTCAAGGTGAGTGATCGGTTTCAGTCATCTCTAAATGTTGAAAACTAACATGGTTCCTGACACGTAGTAGGTGCTCATTGAGTAGAGTCATGCTTTTATTAGAAGGCTGTCCTTTCACCTGACCTCACCACACCCAGCGGAGATCCAGAAGCCTCGCTTTTTAGCTGTGAGTCAGGCAGTAAGTAGGTGTGAGGTGGAGAGCGGGTGGAGGCACACTTTGTCCTTGAGCCAGAGAAGGTTAGACAGGGCTGGGCTCTGTTCCTCCAGAGTGTTACTACTGGACAAATCCAGGGGAGCTGCAGACAGTGGGCACACAGCTCAGCCAGGCTCTGCAGGGACTGTGTGTGTGTGTGTGTGTGTGTGTGTGTGTGTTTCAGAGAGAGAGAGAGAATGGCAATGAATGTTTCCATACTGGTATGTATGCGCCGGTGGTGGTGGTCCATTGTTGAAAATGATTCTCTGTCCCAGATTAATAGTGGGGAGAGGAAGGAGACCTAGCAGGAAGGCTGTGGTCCTCTAAATGAGGTGTGTCTCTATTTGAAGTAGGAATGGGAGTGAGAGGAGGGCTGATTGTTGCTTTGTTTCCACCAATTTCGTTCCTATTCAGCTCATGTAGGGAAAGTATTTGGAATCAGGATTTCCATCTACAGTTCATATATGAATAGAAGGAAATTGGCCAAGGGTCATCGGTATGTATGATAAGTAAGGGGACTCTGTTAAGGAGTGAGTTCTGGGGGTGGGGGTGTAGGTTAAGTAAGAGGCAAGGGCCAGCATTGTGGCCTGAACTTCTGAGTGTGGGGGCCTATGCAGTCTGGGAAAGGAGGACCTTTGTAGCTAAGGCTCTTGGTTGCAATGAAGAGATTTGTTAATTGAGGTAACAATTGGATCCAAATCAGAGAGGCTAGACTGCTGCCTGCTAGGCTGTTCATATATTCTCTATTCCAATATTTTAAAATCGATTTTCTAAAAATTGCATTTGTTTAAAAAAAGTTATGAAACATCAAAAAGCTAAAGAAAATAATGACCCACAATCTCATTATCCTAACATGGCCATTTAAGATTTTTACATATTTTTTCCAGGCTGTCTATATACAAACCATAATGTGCGCTAGTTGGAATCAGAGTATATTCACCACTTTGTATTGTTAAGAAATTTTAAACTTTATACAGTATATATTTCGCCTGTTGATACAGTCATGGTAGTAATTTTTAACAGCCATATACTATTTTATTGAATGCAAATGCCATAATTTGATTAAAATACCCTATGATAATTGAGCTCATTTTATGACATTTTTTTGGTCATTAAAAAGAATGCTGCAAGAATCAGAAAGTAGACTAGAGGTTGCTAGGGGGTGGCTAGAGGGGAGGGAGAAACAGGGAGTAACTGCTAATGGGTTTCTTTTTGGGGTGATGAAAATGTTCTATAATTAGATAGTGGTGATGTTTACACAACTCTGAATAATACTAAAAACACCCCTCTGAATTGTGCCTTAAAAGAGTGAATTATATCTTAATAAAGCCATTTAAAAAATAATGCAATGAACGTCTTATGTGTAGTTTTCCCCTTTTTTTGGATTATTTCCTCAGGATGAATTTTAAGAAATGTTAGAGTGGCAAACAATATGGAAATTTTTTATTGCCCTGAATATATATGGCCCACTTGTTTCCAAAAGGTCTTCCTTTCCTTTCTTTTTTATCAACTTAATATTCTTAGCAAAACATGAATGCACCACTTAATTCAATTGGCATTCCCCTTCCTACTTGCCTGTCTCTGACAAGCTCTGCTGGAGATTTAATTATTCCTCTCTGCCCATGATTCCTACCTCATTTTGGGGAATGACGGCGAAGGGAAGCGAGAGAGCAAGGGGAACAAGGGAAAAGCCGAGCTAATGGCCTGACTCCCACTGAGATCGGGCTGCCTCTTGCAATGTGCTTGTCTCTGTGGCTTTGTATTCCGTGATTTCGTGTTTCTGAATCTGGGTCTGCTTTATAGTTGTAGCCAATATATGTAGAATGTTTTTTGTGTCTGCTCACTGTGCTAAATACTTTACACAAATTAAATAATTTAAAATACGTACAATATGATAGGAGGTAGTTTCTATAATTATGTCCATTTTATAGATGAGGCCAGAAACTCAAGGAATGGTGAGTAGCTAATTAAGGGCGGGGTCAGGATTTGAACCCACAGTCTGACCCCCGAACCCTGGCTCTTAAGCACTGCGTCATTTCACTCTGAACACTCTTTTGGGCTTCCCTCCTAATGATAATTTAACAAAACACCTATGGCATTCTGAGATCGTTATTCTGGTCTTTTCTGGAGGAGAGGTTAGATTCTATTTTCCCCCACCATTTTGGCATCTTAAGAAAAGGCTGGTCTTCAGGCAGCGAAGGTAGCCAAGGAGACCATCAGAAGATAAAATAAAGTTACCGACAGATGAGGCAGGATAGGGAAATTAAGATGGCAGGCTCTGTATCAGGATGCTTACCTTTTATCAGCTAATTAAGACTGATTATAAAAGATAGAACTTTTAACTGAATAGCCACAGAACCCAATGCAGGTGACTTCTAAAAGGATATTGGTGGTCATAGATATGTATATCTCTTTGTGTAGAAACAATTGATTTGGCCCACATACGTGATTTCATTTTATCCTTAATAAAAGACCTGTGGGATAAGTCTGATTACCATTTTCATTTTTACAGAGGAGGAAACCAGCTTGGAGAAAGTCCATGATTTGTTTAGTTAAAACCAAACTCCCAGAACCTTGACCTTTTAATTCAGCTGGCTGTATTTTTCTCTTCATTAATTGCCTGAGTCGTAGCTCCTCCAGATGCGTAGGGAAGGTGGATAAATGGTTTAACATGAAGTGGGTAAGCAGCATTGATATTTCTGAGATGGAAATGCTTCCGATGAATCATAAATCCTCAAGCAGGTGAAGATAAATACATGCTTTTGTGGTGAGCTGAGAGCTTTACAATAAGGGGTTAATAAATGAACTAAGCAGAAAACCAGGGGCTAGCTAAATTATAGCTACATAGTTGAAGTGATACACTGAAAGAATAGTCTTTTGTCTAATAACTGCCATCTGCTTCTGTAACCCTGCTTGCAGCTTGCTTTAAGGATTTGTAATCTGCCTTCGGGCGCCAGAGATCTGTGAGGGCAACTATGCCCTGTGACCTTGTATCTTACAACCCAGACTTCACTCCCCGCTTTTGTTCCCTGAACACCTGCACTGTGCCACACAGCCTCCCTCAAAAATAGTATAAAACCCTCGTAGAAACTTGAGATGGTGCCATCCTCTCGTACTGCTTTTATGCGGGCGGAGGTGGTCGCTGGCCAGCTAATAAAGACTCTCA